AGTTTCCAAGGCTGCCCAGGTGTGTGAGTGGTTTCAGGACCACCCACATTTTTCCATTTTATACCTTCCACCTTATTTCCCCTTCCTCAATCCCACTGAGGATAAAAATAAAATGTTTTGTCTCAAAATGTGTGTGATGTCTAATGTTTGTCTCAGAGAAAAGCGGGCCCTGTCATACATTCAGTGTATAATTCACCGTGTTCCCTTTCGACAAGTGTGTTTTCAGTTTTGCTCTTCAGTGTGTTCACCCAAAGGCTACTTGTGTTCAAGCAGTGAATGGTGTGTGTGTGTCATGTGAAAATGTGGCTGTGTTTACCAAATGAAAACACGTGTTCCATTTTGGGAACATGTTACGATATGTGGTGGCAGGGTTTTGTTGCAAAGGGAAGCCACGGTTTAGCAATTTGTGTGTTATGTTTGGGGTTTTGTGTGTGCAGTTTTGAAAAATGCGTTTTAGCAATCGAAAAAAACTGTAATTCATAGTTTTGATGCCCTCACTGAGAATCGACCAATGGAAATGGCCGTGAAGGTAAAGACAACACAAACGTTTGGCCTGCACTCTGTCGGTGCGCCCCAGTGCAGATGTGGCTACTTCATCACCACCAGTGTGTGTGACTGGATAAATGAGGCTGTAGTGTAAAGCGCTTTGGAGTCCTCGGACTCCGAAAGGCGCTGCACAAGTGCGGGTCGTTTGTCTTCAGCATAAATCCACACAGAGCCCACCTGAGGGCTGGGAGAGAGCTGTCTCTGATTACTAAACGAAATGGCTCAAAAACAAACGTCGGACCTGAAAGAACATCTTGAGTTCAAACTTTTAAAGTTTCTAAAATCATTTAAATGAGATAAAAAAGTTTTGTTTAGAGATTTTTGTTGAGAACAAACTCCCACTTGATGTTCAACAGTCTGGAGTTTTAAGGCTAAATTGAAGCAGAATTGCAAATCTAGTTAATTTTATACTGTTTTGTTTTATTGTTATTTTTCCGGTAATATTCTTATTTACTTTTATTGTTTTTAGGCTGCCTGCGCAGTGGTGCAGTGGTTAGAGCTGTTGCCTTGCAGCAAAAAGGTCCTGGGTTCGCTTTCCGGCCTGGGATCTTTCTGCATGGAGTTTGCATGTTCTCCCTGTGCATGCGTGGATTCCTCAGGTGTGTGTGTGTGTGTGTGTGTGTGGTTGTTTGTCCTGTGTGTCTCTGTGTTGCCCTGCAATGGACTGGCTCTCTGTCCAGGGTGTACCCCGCCTGATTGCCCATTGGCACCAGCACCCCCCCACCCCCGACCCTACGTGGACAAGCAGGTTCAGAAACTGGATGGATGTTTTTAGGCATTATGTGCATTTTATTTGTGTTGTTTTTAGCGTTTTTATGTCTCGTGACATTTATTCTTTGTATGGTCTCCTCGTACGGTATTTTTGTTGTCTCTAATTTTAATGTACGTGATCTGATGTGATCATGTACGGCACTTTGGGCAGCCTAGGCTGGTGGCATTAAGGTGCTCTATAAATAAATAAATCAAACAATGAATGAGACTTCCACTGATTCGTAAACGCTGAAGCCATCTTTGTGTCGTCTTATTTAGTCTTTTTATGGAGAGAATGACAAAAGGACCAAACTGGTGTTTTCAAACTCCGAGACTGAAGATTAGTGTCCAAAGAACAAATACTAGATTATTCATTTATGCTGACTACATCTGAACTTCAGCTGAAATAGAAACCAGTCTCATGAACAAAGAACCAAATGGAGACACTTTAAAAACCAGAACGGATGATTTATCTGCAACTTTTCTTTTTGGGACCAGAAGCCACTCAAGTGTCCATAAAGACAGAAGATGAGACTTTCTGGGCTGTAGGTGGAAAATAGCCAACAGTAAATAATTCACCGAGCCCATCTGCTTTATTTTTAGAGACTGAACAGCTCTCTGAGGTGGAAGTAGGAAGTTCTTCTTGTTCCTTTAGACGCGAATCCTCAGAAATTCAAAATGTGTTCGCTTCCTTATTTTCTCACAGAAAACTTTATTTTCCGAAGGTAATTTTTAAAACTCCAGTTTGTTTGGTGCCTTTACGTCTTCCAGAGGAGCATAATAAGAGTTTACGTTGGTGGTTGCATCAAAGAAAATTCTCAAGATCTTTTGTTGATTTTTTTTTAAACAGCTTCAGGAGGATTTGTGAGGCCTAGTCCACACGTAGCCGGGTTTTTTTAAACGAATATCCGCCCCTCCAAAAACTTGCATCCACACCACCTCGTTTAAAAACAAACTCTGTCCACACGTACCCGGATAAATACGTTGTTAAGGACATGCCAGACCTGTAGGGGGCAGTACCTCCCCCGTTCTTAACCTCGTCCTTCGTCTGTGGTCTTCCACAAGCAGCAGTAACTCCTCTTGCAAAAACAAACAAGCAAAAAGCGCTTGGACAATTGATAAAGCGAGCGCAGCTCTGAGGGCGTCCATGCTGTCGGCTAGTGTAAACACAGGTCGCACACGTGATGTCAGCATTTTTTTGACGCGGAAAGTGACGTTGCGGACCTTAAAACTCCGGTTTTGTCCGTCCACACGCAGACACCCAAAACGGAGAAAACGCAGATCTTCACTTTGGCCGGAGTTTTTAAAAAGATCCGTTTTCGTGTGAAAAAACTCCGTTTTCGTGTGGACGACAGGCCAAAACGTAGAAAAATATCTACGTTTTGGCAGATCCCCGGCTACGAGTGGACAGGGCCTTACTCGAGGGTGGAGGTTTAAAGCTGTGATGACGTCAGTGTTTGGTTTGTGTTTTTGTCCGTTTTAAACAAATGTGATTTTTTTTATTAAATGAAGAAATGAAAATAGTGAATTTTAATAATGTTCTTTCTAAAAATGAGTG